CGACGTGTTTGCGGCTCGCCCCACGACACGTTGCCCTGCCAACATACATTCTGAGTCACCCAAGCAGATGTAATGCCATTGCCACAATGACTCCCTCTTCGCTTTTTCTTCGAAAACTTGTTAAAGGGAAGATTCCGACCTACCTAGGAAATGCTTTTAATCAGTTTAGTTCCGGAAATAACTATGGAAATTCAGATTTTTCCATTCTGTTGCTTCTGAACATCATATTGTGACAAACGGCTGATGATCACCGCTCTTCCCCCAGAGCGTAGGGAGGAATGACGTGACTGGCAGCCGTTCTGAATCCCGCATGGAAAGGTCTGAGCGAATAAGCATATGAAAGGCCAGCAAAAACGAAGCTTTTGAAAAAAAAAAAAAAAAAGAAGAAGAAGAAAAATGTCAAAATTGCCCATCACTCTTCACATACCGATCCGATAGCCATCCCCTCCTTTGGCAAGAGCTGTGCGTGGCCTTTTGTCTCGGTCCTTGGAAAGCAGGGTCCCGGGGACTCTGGACGGAGGTCACGTGTACCGTGACAGATGGCCATGCGCGGGTGAACAGAAGCCCACTCGTGGATGCCAAACGAGCTTGAGAAGTGTGACAGTCACGGAGGTCTGATACACGGGTCTTCCCCAGCTTACGATGGGGCGAATCCCGATCAACTGGAAACATCGCTGCAAATACAAACTGCCTACAGTAAGTGAGCTCCTTTCCTTTCGTGCCTGACCCAAACTACTATCGTTCCTTATCAAACGCTGCCAGTGTCCAAATTTGGGACTGCATAGACGTGCACCGTCCAGGATATTCCGGGACTAGGAGAAGAAGTGCTTTGTAACACTGGCACGGTTTTCCAAGCATGTGACCCTCCCGCTCCCCGGAAACCATCCCCCTGAGAGGAACGAAACTGTAGAGACACACATCCACCGGAGACATCCCTGGGGTTTAGGAGCAGAGTCCAAACCTCCGGGAGGGGACTTTGGGGACCTACCTGCTCTCATCAGCCAATGCGCTCGACCCCGTGTGGCACACATCCACAGCTCCTCGTGTGTCCCCGGGTCCTGAGATACGGGGCTTAGCATGGATGGGGAGTTGCCTGGACCCAGGGCGGAGAAGCCCAGCAAAGAAACAGACCACATCCTCGAGCCGCGGCCTCCTGGGGAGACCTCCAGAAACAGCGAGCCTGGTGATTTTAAATGTCTTGTTACCCAGGAAGAGAGCTGAACACAAGCGTCCGTGGGGTCTCATCCCAGGTTGCCTGGAGTCTACCGGGAAGGCTGAAGTCCATTATCCAGAGGACATTATCCCGCTGTTTGTATGCTGACCTTCGGAGCAGGGTCACAGGGTGGGAGAGGTCCAGAAAAGCCTCTCTCCGGTGGGGGCGGGGGGGGGGTCCATCCACATCCCATCCTCTGCTGGAGCCCCAGTAACCCTTCCCGGGGTCCACATGCCATCATGCACTAAACAATGCATAGCTTCACTACCCTCTGGCATTTTCAAAGATCTTTCCATCAGGAATGAACCTCAAAAGGTAGAAATCTCGGCACCAGGCTCTCCGGACTCTGAATTTGAGGAGAGTCAGGGGCTTCTGCCCCAAACCTTCTCCACCGCCACCCCCCGCCCCTCGCCCCACAGTCGACCCCGTACCCAAAACCTGGCACACAACTTCTCCCAACTCTACATCTACATCCACGTGGGTGGGACAGGGACAGAAGTTCTTTAATATTAACCGATTAGCCCCCCCACCCCCACGGAGCTCTGTACCTCTCGGCCTGTGCCTCCATCGCCCCACCCCAGAGCCACAGGCCAGCGTCACTGCTCCGGGGAACAGTGTTACAGCCACAGATCAAAGGACAGGCTCTGGGGTCTGGATAACCAGGGATGAATCAGGGCAAGTCTTCAAGCACCAGGCAGGGCGAAGAAAGGGGATTTCTAGGAGCAGAGACGGTCTGACCACTGGAGCATCCCTGAGATGGAGTTTGCACGCCAGAAACCCCACCGAGCTCTGAGGGCGCCGTGTCCTGGGGTCTGTGGGGAGATGGGGAATCCCCACAAAGCAGCAAGGGCTGCGTGGTAAGTCGAGAGTCGGTTCAGAGTCTGCCCACCTTCCCTCCGGCCCTCCGTGCCAGAGCAGCAGCTGGTGACTCTCGTGGGGCTAAGGGTGGCCAGAATACAGAAAAGAGTCGAGGCGGTGCACCGAGCACCCGAGCACCCCACGACCCAGCGTGGCGCCCAACAGCAGAAAGAGACCCTGGAATAGGGTGACACGCAGGAGACCTGCGTAAGAACCTGGCAGGTGTCAGTGGACACTTCCGAAGATGCTGGCAGGAACTGACGGCCAGGACCGCCCCCCACCCCACCCCCATGCACCTCCGTCACTATGTACCCCCCGGCAGAGCTCACCCAAGGTTTCGGAAGAATTAGGCAGTTGCGGGGAGCATCTCTGAATTGACGGAGATGGGGCCTCGAGACAGAAGAAATTAAGTTGAAATCGTCTCATGTTACACGTACTGCAAGGCCGAGCTTGTGGGTACAGGTATGTCCCCGCCTTGAATGTGCTGCTCGGCGAGCGTGTTTCTATCTGCGCTTAGGCTGCTAGGAAGCTCAGCGCAAGTTGCAGTCTATTGTCAGGAACACATATTCTGGTCATGATTTACTGACTTGTCTGTCATTGTGCTCGTCCTTGTCCTTGCTCTTGGGATCTCCGCCCATAGTTGGCCGTGGTCCCACTATCTATATTATTGTTACCCAATCAGAACCCTCAAGGCACATGTGCACCTGAGAACATGTGTGTCTGTCACATAGATATTTAGAGTGACTTATAACCCTGGTTTCAAAATTCTCAGCCATAAAGCCCTTTGAGGAACTAGGAGCCCTCCTGTGGCAGGCTGGGTCTATGGGACCTGGTGGGGGCTGCTGGGGGCAGTCCACCGTGAGCGTCTGGGTGAGCCGACATGCCCAGGGGGCTCTCCTCTATGGTAGCAGTCCCCAAACTCACAGGTGAGACAGGGGCTCGTGGCCCGGGTCCCTCCTTGTGTTGGCAAACAGCTCTCTGTGCAAATCAGCCTTAGCACAGCTGGAGGGGGAAAGGGCAGCTTTGGGGAGCTGGGTCCCCCTCTCAGGTCCTGCCCAGACGCACCTGCCTGCTGAGGTCCCCACCGTTCTTGTGGCCCCACAGAGAGCTGGTGAGGGCACAGCAGAACTGGCCATTCTGAAAGTGCTCTCTCAAGCCACCGGTAAAGCAGGTTTATTTGGTAACGCACAGGCCGACAATGCACTCATCGCGTGGTCTCAAGAGGGTCACAGATTGGTTTTGTCTTTTAAATGAAGAGTTTGCCCTGTACACAGGAAGAGAAAGCAGGGCCTAAAACCACAGAAAGCGGGGAGTCTGGGTGGTTCAGTGGGTTAAGCGTCCGACTTCGGCTCAGGTCATAATCTCATCGTTGGTGGGTTCGAGCCCCGCGTCGGGCTCTGTGCTGACAGTTCAGAGCCTGGAGCCGGCTTCGGATTCTGTGTCTCCCTCTCTGTGTCCCTCCCCAGCTCACACTCTGTCTCTCTCTCTCTCTCAAAAATAAATCAACATTAAAAAAAAATTAAAAAAAAAACTGGATGCTCAAAGGGGCTCCTGGGTGGCTCAGTTGGTTAAGCATCAAACTTCAGCTCAGGTCATGATCTCACAGTCCGTGAGTTCATGCCCCACATCAGGCTCTGTGCTGACAGCTCAGAGCCTAGAGCCTGCTTCCGATTCTGTGTCTCCCTCTCTCTGCCCCTCGTCTGCTCACGCTCTGCCTCTCTTCCTCTCAAAAATAAATAAACATTAAAAAATTAAAAAAAAAAAAACTTCGCAGGGAAGTGTCAAGGGCTATGTGACATGTGGCCCTGGGGGCACACACCAAGCCACACACAAAGTCCCGGGCCCTGGACAATTCTGGGCCGACGGCAGGCGAGAATCTTCCGGCACGCACGTGGCCTCGAAGGCTACACTGACCCAGCATTCTCCTTTCCCGCAAATATACCACATGACGTTAAAAAAAAAAAAAAAAAGCACGAAATGTTTTTCCTTTTCCATCACCGCCTCCAAGCTGACCCCTTGGGTTTTGCTTTATGGTAGCGTTCTTGTTTTAAACACGTCAGGCCGACGTAACATGCAGCACAGATGTGTCGTTATTACCTCACACACACGCCACCTAAATGTCACACATGCTTTTAAAACTGAGACTCAAATGCCTTTTTAGGAAAAAAAAAAACTTTATTAAAAAAAAAAAATAACTTACAAACGGAGAGAACTTTCTGGAATAAGACCGCTCGCTTTGTGCACAGCGTCGCAGCCCGGGGCAGCTGTGCTTTGTTTCGCCTTTTTCACGTACTTTTACAACACCCATAAGATCACAGGCTGCATGACAGAGTCCTTTTGTCATTCCATACCCCAAAGCACCACACAGACATAAAACTATCGTAAATAAAGCCTTTCCGCCAAGACTGGCGTATATTTATATACTTATATATTTATAGATATATCCTTTCAAACCAGCTAACAATTAATGTCATCCTTAGTCAACACGGAAGTCAAACTAGTCTTCAAACTACCACGCTCTGAATACAAGTCAGCGTTGTGCCTCCCGTACGATATTTAAAATATATTTAAACTTTCAAATACGTTTATCAGGTACACCGATAGTGAGAAAATAAAGTCTTAAGATTTAAATACAAATCGCCATAGAAAACCTTCGGGGAGCACGGAAAGTCCTATTTTACACAAGTGCAGGCAAGCCCATCCCCGCGGCGGGCTTGGGCCAACAGGTCGGTCACACCTGCGTCAGGAGACACCGCCAGGATGCACGGCCGCGTGGCAGCCGCCACGGCGGCCCGTGGCGCACACTCCCCTCTGCCCGCCACTCGGGCGCCCAGCCCCGAAGCCACCTGGCCGCGCGCTCGGGAAACGACGCATCCCGGTGCCGCATGGCAAACGGGCACCTTCGGTCCCCGGGACCCCGCAGGGCGCGTCACTTGGTGCTCTGCTCCAAGGCCGAGTACTCCGTCTCAGACACTCTGGAGGCGTCGATGAGTTTGGTGAGGCCTGTTTTGGCCGAGTACTTAAAGATGAAGGCCTTCATCAGCTCGTACCTGTAGTTACGGTTGATGAAACTGTAGAGCACGGGGTTGACGCAGCAGTGCACCAGCGACAGGCACTGCGTGACGTGCAGCGCCGTGAACAGGAAGTTCTCCAGCTGGCAGGTGAAGGGGAGGTAGTGGAGGATGGAGAAGATGTCCAGGAGCACCACCACGTGGTAGGGGAGCCAGCACACGAGGAAGACCACCACGTAGGAGAAGATGATCTTCCGGCTGGTCTGCTTCTCCTGGTCACCGGACGCCGAGATGGCTCGGGCCAGCAGGCAGTAGAAGACGGCGATGACGCAGGAGGGGACGGCGAAGCCCAGCACGACGGAGACCAGCTCCATGCTGATGAGCCACTCCTTGACGCTGTGCTCGGGGTAGAAGGAACGGCAGTAGGTCTCGTTGTTGGACGCCGACGTGACGGTCTTCAGGTAGTAGGTGTCGGGCAGGGACACGCAGAAGGCCAGCAGCCACACCAGGACGCAGACGGTGCGGCGAACCGCCTTCTTCCTGCGGCTCGACGTGCCGGCGAAGTGGGTGAGGGACAGGTAGCGGTCCACGCTCATGCACGTCAGGAAGAAGATGCTGCCGAACAGGTTGATGGAGAAGATGAGGTGCGTGATCTTGCACGTGAGCTCCCCCATGGGCCACTGGTTGTGCTGCACGAGGCTGACCACCCAGACGGGGATGGTGACCACCACCCACAGGTCGGCGATGGCCAGGTTGAGGATGTAGCAGTGCGTGTCGTAGCCGGTGGTCTTGGCCTGGATGGTGACCCAGACCACCACGGAGTTGGCGATCATGCCGATCACGAAGATGAAGATGTGAACGAAGGCCAGCGTGTACAGCAGCAGGCTTTTGTTGGGCATGTGGGGGCACAGCACCGTGTCCACGACGATGCAGTCGCTGCCGTTGCACGGCCAGCTGACGTCGGAGAAGTTCCCCGGTTCCGAGTAGTCGAAGAGGTGCAGATCCATGGTGCTTAGGGCAGGAAGCAAACGGCCTGCACAAAAACCACACAAAGAGAGATGGAACGGAAAAGCGGCTTCGTTAGGGAACGCCGGAGCGCCAGCCCATGTGCTTTTCCGGCGCTCCGTAAGCTCGGCTGTCCCGCTCGGGCTCGGTGGCGTCTTCCCAAAGAAAGGACAAAAGCAAGCCGCCGTGACGGAGCTCTGCACCACCGCAAAAAAAAACCTACCCGGAATCTTAAGCCCACGTGGTGCTAAAGACAGCAAGAGTGGCCGCTGTCTCTATCTTTTCATGGCTGTGTTCTCAAGACGTCAGCAGCCCGGCCGTGCCCATGGGGTGAAATCAACACGGCCCAGGGGCCAGCGAAGCGTCTGACAGCCCAGGCGACGCCGACGGCTCGCTCATTCTCCGCGGAGGACAGCGGAGCCGTTTTCCCCACGTCCCAAAGAATGGCAGTCGATCAGTTCCTGGCAAAGCTGCATGACCAGGGTCCTGTGCTGGGGTCTTAATGACAGCGCTGCAGATTCCCTCCCCAGCGTGCGTCAGAGGTGTGACTGACTCGGTGCTTCTGACCTTCCTGCAGCACGCGTGTGTGTCGGCCCGGGTCTCAGGCCGCCTTCGCCCCGCGGTCCTGACGACCATTCGGCACGCAACGTCCTGCAGCTCGGGTGCCTGGGTGCACCCCAAACCCGCACCCCCCCCCGTCCCCGGCTGGGCCACACGCTTTTCAACTAAGGGCAACCAACCGGCTGTGTTCCCTTCTTTTTTTTTATCCAACGCTTCGGGAGCGGCTTGTGCCAAGACCCGGAGCACAAAAGTCACCACCTGCCACGCTTCTGGAGGGGCAGACACCTGTCTCCACCGTCTTCCCTGCTGACCTGGGGATCGTCACCATTTGCACATCCATAGAAGAATCCCGCTCCCAGGTACCACGGGGCCTAGACGTGATTTCTCCCGAAATGCACCCACCGTGAGAGCTGTCAGGGGCTGTCTTCTACGGGTGACCCCCCCCCCCCCGCAAACCTGAGGGTGCTGAGATCCCACCAGGACCCAGCCCCGGGACGGCAGCCCCACTGTGTGACCGTGGGAACAAGGGCGACCTGCTGAGAGTTACCTCACAGAGGAAGGTGTTTGTGCTTCCTTTCCGCATGTCACGGGTAATGACCCACCCCGAGTCGAGCCTCTGTGCCAAGTTCATTTACAGTGGACTCCAGGTCACCTAGGTGACCTCCCTGGAGGATGCACAGGTCAGTACTCAGGTGGCTACGCTCACGGTATGAGGACACACAGCCGGGAAAAGCACCCATCCCGAGACCAGACCTTCCTGGGTTGGAATCCTGACGCTCCCCTCACGGGCGGTTAACTTGAGACTAGTTGACCTGTCTTCCGCTGCATTGTCAGGGCACCAGAGCCATCGCGGAGTCACCCGGGCACCAAAGGGCCCAGTGCAGAGTCTAGCACATAGGGGAATTGCTCTGCAAAAGTCCACCCCCACCCCCTCCCAACCCTTTAGCAAAGGTCACAGCCTCCCTTAATTCTTGGTCCACGTTTGAAACTAACTCTTGCCGCCTAAGTAATTGCCCGTCCCTGCCTGGAAGGGAAGGCAAGGGTGCACAGAGATGGGCGGGGTGATGGGTTTACCTTCCGGATAAATGAACAGAGTCCCTGACAATGAGACATCCCACTGCCTCCCAGGACCGACTTCCTCAGCCTCGAACCCACAGCAGGTGGATCTCAGTTAGTGGGGATCACCAGCAGATTCCTGGGCACTTCTCCTCTGTGGGTTGAAAGTGCCCCTTGGTCCCTCTCCTGGTGACCTAACCAGGCCCCCTGCTGCTAAGGGGTGAAGGCCGGGCCCCCCGTGAAATGCCCGCAGCCAGGAAGCCTGGCGGTCCTCGGAGCACCCTACCAGGAGGGTCCCGTGCCCTGCAACCACCAACTTGTGCAGGACCAGACCCACAGCAGAGGACGGCATCCCGGGAGACTCAGCACGACCAAGTTTCAGACAAAGAAACTCCTCGCGTGACCAGACTCTGGACCACCTTGTCTTAAGAGGCAGCTCGAGGACCCCCACAGGACACGGGGCAGCAGAAGAGACAGGGGTCCCTGACCCACTGGGTTGGCCTTAGGGTGGACAGCCAGCCCCAGACCATGCCTTGAGGCCACTATTGCCACGTCCCCCTGGCCACTAACCTGCCCGGGACTGATCCTCCCCACCCCGACCCCTGAAGCCCCCGATTCCAGAACAGAACAAAGCAAGGATTTCAGCTTTGCTTTCTTCCTGGTTCCAAGGCAGTGACCCCTTCTCCCCGCATTTCCCTAAAAGGAAACACATCTGCAGCACGGCCTAGTTTATAAGGTGCTTTCGCCTCATGACCTCATCTGACCCCAGAGTCCCTGCAGAGCAGAGGACCCCTGCTGGAGGGCAGAGGAAGGCGGGAGCCGGGTGGGGCTCCCTCCTCCACCCGCACCGCTACAGCCCTGCAAGGCCTCAGCAGACACGCCCCGGAGCCCCAGATCTGGACTGTCGGCTGGGGCCAGAAAGGAAGGAATGCGCCCCAGCCTTTGTCACCGTGACTGGGTCCAAGCCCCCCCACCTCTCTGCTCACCACAAGGAGACAGTGAGCTCCCGTGCTGTCCAGTGGACAGGCGCTGGGCGCTATTCGGCGTGCACAGCCATACCACACAGGGCAGGAGCGTATGAGAAGCCACCTGCCTCTCACGTCCTGCTCTTTTGGACCCTCTGGGGCTCCTGCCAACCGTCGCTGTTCCCAGAGCTTGAGCTGTGGCCAGAGAGGGTGCGGGCCCCATCCCGGGTTTTTCCGCCTCTGCCCTCTGAGCAATGAAAACCTGTTGTAGCGATCACGGGTCCTCCTAGGCCCTCGTGGGGTACACCACCCAATCCATGTGTCCTCTCCCTGTGTCTGGGGGGACACAGTAGGGCTCTTCCAGCAAGGGTTGATGGGCTGAAGGGCACAACAGAGGCTTCGAGGCCCCTGGCTAGAGCGAGAAAGCCAGCTGGCCCGTCCATCACCGATCATCCACCACCACTCGGCCCAGGAGCTGAAGCTGGGGCCTGTGCCCTGACCACCCGCCTCCGGGGCACCCGCCTCCCAGGCACCCCCTCCCAGGGCAGGAGGCCCCAGCGGTCAAGAGAAGCAGGGAAGCACAGCGAGGAGACGAGACCAACTGGGAATCAAGCCTTCCACGAATCTAAACGGGGACTAAGGAGAGTAAAAGTCCTCACCACAGCTTAGCCTCTTGTCATGCCGGTATCTTCCATGCATTTGGCTTTGGAAACAATCAAGGGCCGTTTCCAAAAGAGAATATGATCTGACAAAGACAGTCTGCATTTTCTGTCAAATGCCGTCTGCCGCAAGGCCTGATGACAAAGCTCCCGGCAAAATCTGAGGGTGGAGAGGGCCAGGGAGAGGGGCTGCTGATGAACTACAGGGGCCACTTTAACGCCCAGCGTGTCCCACACCAGCTCCTCAGCTGCCCTCCAGCAAAAGCTGGAGGTCACCTCAGCCAGTACACAGACAGACAGACTGCATTCCGCATGAACCCCGGAGGATCTGCACTCCCCGTCTAAGTATCAGGCCTCTGAGCCAGTCTCTGGTCTCTCTGTGCTGGGAGGCAGTGGAGGTCTGATGACACCCAGACCTGCAGGAGACCCCTCATCCCACCGGGACCAGTCACCTTCTGCTTTGCACAAACCAGCAAGTCCTTTCCCGCCAGCGTGGGGCCAGAGCTTGGGAAAAACTCCCAGGGGCGCACTGCCCCCCTCCCTGCGGACTCAGAGCCCCGAGGCCGGAGGGTGAGACCCACTTTGACACCTAGGTTCACACGTTGCTCCTCTCGAAAGATTCAGGAGTCCCCAACTGCACGAGCAAGCATGTTTACTGAAGCACTATTTGTTAGCGAAAAAATTGGAGACAGTGTGGATGTCCATCAGCAGGGACTGGTTTGTCAAAGCGTCCACCTTCTGAAATATAACATAGCTCTAAGAAAAATGAAAGGGACCCTCCTTTAGGAACATGGAAAGTTACAAGGTAGCCCAAGTGAAGGCGACGTGCCTGTGCATACGCGTCGCATAATCTCATTTGCGTCCCATAATCTCATTTACGTAAAACAGGAGCAAAAGGTGGGTGTGTCTTTATATGCAAATACATGTGCACAAAAGCCACAGAAAAAAGATCTGCGATAAGTATAAAACTTTGGGCAGAGGGGACGGAGGGGGGATTGTTGATTTGACTCTCTAAACTTCTGTACCACTTGAAATTTGACCTCGAGAATTATGTACATTCAGGAATGTTCCACAGACCAGTAAAGGCTCCCTTTCCATTGTCTCCTGGACCATGGAGACCCCACTGACAACAAAAAGCCGGACTTTTCACTGTACGTCCCCTTGTCCCCAGCACTCACTGAGTCTTAACTGACCGCTCCTCTCCCCTGGGGTCACTTTCTATAGACCCTTGGGGGTCACCTGTCCCACACCTGTACTCAGGGACCATCACACTTCTGCCATTTCCCTATGGCTGCGGAGGACCCGGTGTCTGTCTGGACCTCCCCACCGGCCTGGGGTCTGCAAAGGGCCTCATCCACCACTCCTCTTCGCTAGTGGTGGAAAGGTTCCGCTTTGTCGATTGGAGGACTTTTCTGGGAGATGAGCCTCTCCTATCTCAGGCTTATTATTCATCAACCAAGTATCCCAGACAACGAGTGAACTACAGCCAAGTGGCCCGAGGCATTCGTCTGGATCCAAATGGTCCGCCTGAGCTCACCCGGTGAGCTGGGGGGTCAAGCCAGAATTAGAAGTCCCCAGGGTTAGTAGGCAAGGGGTGGCGGTCAGCCTGCAGTAAACATGTCCTCTCCTTGGCCGAAAGTCAGTCCCTCCACAACGGAGACTGCCAAGTGTTCCGGCAACCGGCTGGCGTTCGCCAAAACTGCCTCCTGTGTGTTTGCAAATTCCCATCCCAGACCAGGAAGACTCTTCCCGACCCACCCCTTGGCTGCTCCTGTCCCAATGAACGCATCCTGCTTCTCCCTCCTCGTCCACCACCCAGGCCACAGGTCTCCATTCTGTGTCACCGCGGTCACTTCTCTCCACATTCTTCCTGCCCAAGTCCCACACCCCGACGACGTCTTCACCTTTTTCCACCATGGCCAGCACAATGCAGGGGCTCAACGCACTCACGGTCAGTAAGTCAGCGGGGTTCATCAGGCTCCGCCACACCCAGTGATGCGACGCCATCCCTGGGAATGGGAGTCCAGAAGATTCTGAGCCCCTCATCGAACTGAGACAAACATCAACGCTGTCCGGGCCCCCAAATCTTTGTGGAGCCTCCTCCGCGAGGGGCACTGCTCTGGGGCATAACAGACCAGAATCACCACGCCCCGCCCCCCCCCAAGAACTTGCCAGTAACTGAGATGGACAGCAAGGTGCGGGATTTCCCCCCAAGTGGCTTATGGGGGCCTTCAAGGAGAAGGGAAGGCGTGTACCAATGAGGCACCACGAAGAGCATCACTGAATTTGCCTGAGGCCACCCTCCCCACACACGAAAGCTGGCGCAAGACTCGGTCCAGGGCAGGGGTGCAGGGAGCGAGGGGGTCAGGCTGGGGCAGTCCACCAGGAGCCACAGGGGTTTTGAGCAAGGAAGTGGCTTGGGGCAGAAAAGGCTTTGAGGGCAGGGGTGCCACAAAGCCGGGAGAAGGCGCACAGCCGGGTGCTCTGGTGGCCGGGGGCAAACAGGCGGGAGGAAGGCGCTCCCCGAAGTCCCCAGTGGTGCAGGTACGATTTCACAGGCCAGGCCAGGGCTGGGAGGCAGCAGCTCAGACCCTAAGGGGGACCCTCCGGCCCTCGGGGCTCTTTGGGAGACCTCTGCCTACGGGTGACCTTTTTTATTGGCTTTCTGCCGTTTGGGATCTGTGTCCCCCCGGGACGGAATTTCACAGAGCAAGTCCGCGACGTCCAGATCCTATCACCCTGTTCAGCCTCTCTCTCTGCTGAACCTCCGCAAACCGAGGCCAGGCCAAGGGACCAGTTGATCTAGGTTTGTGGCTCAACATCAGCTCTCTTCCCTTTCGCAACTTTTCCAGAGACTTCATCCAGTGGGAGCTGTGCTCTGGCCTCCTTGCCAAAGTCCCCCCCTACCCCACCTTCCCGCACAGCCGGCACGCGGTTCGCTAAGGAGAATCCGCACTACCTCTAAAAACGTGAGGCAACGGCCCAGCGCTGAGGTTTGGGTTCTGTTTGCCCCTTGGTTTTGGTGTTTTTACCGATGCTGCATTACATCCAATGGGGCAGTCCGGGAAAGCTCCGGCCCTGGCAGGCTCCCTGCGGCCATCTGCGAGGGCTGACAACAGATTGGGGACTGGTGGGTCCCCCAGTGCCAGGCAAACAAAAATAATGCTGTCTTGACTGCCCATTCAGTCTCAGACGGATACTTACTTTATACAAGTAAGGGGCTGCTCTGCGTCAGCAGGAAACTCAAAGGTCATAAAGAGAGAGTCAAGGAGAAAGAAAGCTTCCTACCCTGATTCAGATCTAGGCCACCTACCCCTGGGGGGCGGGGGGGGGGGTCCTCACCATGCTTCCTGTTAACACACGGGGTGGGGTATCTTCATCCACCTTTAAGCATTTGGGGGAGAAAATGAACCCCCACATCCAGAAAGCCCATCTGGTCTATTGTGCTCAGCTGCCCACAGGGAAACAGGGCTGTGCCCAGAAGGGCAGATCCAGAGAGCCCCACGTCACAAAGGCTGCCGTCTGGGTTGGCCGGGTGTAACCAGAGCCTTAGTTCCCACCCAGCTCAGGACCTGGACGAGGCAGTGGGAGGTCAGCCAGGCTCTCGGCCAGACACAATAGGGTTCCCAGGAGAAGGCGACTCAGTCTTAAGGCTCTGCTAATAAAACTCGGGGAAGATCCCCACAAAGGTATCTGTTACAGCAAGAAAATTGGAAGACGCTGCCGACACGGTCCCCCACGCTGCCCACTGCCCTTTGATCTGTCCCTGGCCAACAGCTGTCCAAAGTCACCACTGAGATACTCAAGTCCCTCTACCCCTCAAGAAACCCATCAAGTGTTCGAAATCAGACAATCCCCTCTTTTGTTCCTTTCCCATTCTTCTCTCTCTCTCTCTCTCTCTCTCTCTCTCTCTATCTCCGCTTGCTTGTTTTTACTTTAATAGAAAATGTGTGTCCCAGGGCTCTGATTTTCCAGACGTGAGAAACACTGGACGTGACCCAGCCTCTGGGTTTCTTTCTACGCTCTACCCACGTGCAGGAAACTCAACAAGAAGGCGTTCT